GGCATTCTGCTGTGATTTTTCTCTAAAATGTGGTGTGAACTTTATCTATGTTACTGTTGTCTCTTTCAGTGTTAGAATAAAGGGTTTTTTTTTATTTTTGTTTTTGTTCTTGGTTTTTTTTTGTTTGTTTGTTTGTTTGTTTATTTTTTTGCTAGGCAATGGGGTTAAGTGATTTGCCCAGGGGTCACACAGCTAGTGTCAAGTGTCTGAGGCCACATTTGAACTCAGGTCCTCCTGACTCCAGGCTATCCACTATACCACCTAGCTACCCCAAATAACAGTATTTTTTAAAAATACACTGCGTACCTAGATCATTATAATAACCTTCTGCTTGGTCTCTCTGCCTTGTCTTTCCCTGTACCAGTTTATCCTCCACTCAGCTGCCAAAGTAGTCTTTCTAAAGTGCTGGTCTGACCTATTCATACTTCTATAACTTTTTTGAAGACTTAGTTGATCATTGCTTTGATCAGAATTCTTCCTTTAAAGACGCTTGACTTCATAGTGTTTTCTCTATCAATTGTTCCCCTGGTTCTGTTCACTCCACTCTGTATTAGTTCATATACCCAGGATTCTTTGAAGCTGTCTCTTTAGTCATGCACATGAATTCATAAATCACAATTTGCTTATTCATTTCCTAATTTTCTAAGAGGCCCTCTGTCACCCTATCTTTTAGTTACTAAGCATTTTTTCCTTTCTTCCATTTCCCCTTTCTCTCATTCAAAACAAAATGAAACAAAACTCTCGTAACAAAAATGCAGTGTCACGCAAAACAAATTCCCATATTGGCCCAAGGAACCAGGAGGGACAAAACTGCATCTCCTTCTGCATATTTAATCCATCATTCTTCATTATTGAGTTTCTGGAATCATGGTTTGCATTGCATCGATTATCGACTTCTTAAGTCTTTTGAAATTCATTTTCCTAAGATTGTTGTCATAGTATAAGTTGTTCTCCTGGTTCTCACTTCATTCTGTATCAGTTCATAGAAGTCTTCTCAGTTTTCTCTGAAACCATCTCCTTTGTGCTTTCTTACAAAGGTGCTTCTTAGATTCTAGTTCTTTTCTTTTCTACCAACATCTCCTTTAAATCTTTCCTTCTAGTGTATTTTGATTGTGGCTATTCCCTTCCCAGTGTTACCTTCCCTGTTAGCTTCTCCCTATATATATATCTCAGCTTGTTTCCCTGTTGAGTTTGTTGTATTTCTGCACTTATTTTTTGGTGTATGTTCAATCCTCCATTGTTCATTTCAGATAAAAGTGATGTTCATTTGATACCTGTTCCCCCAATGCAAAGTAGTTTACAGATATTAATATTTATATAATTAATTAATAATTAATATTTATAATAAAATATTTATTTTTATTTTCACAACAACCCTGGGAGGTAGATGCTATTATTCCCATTTTATAGGTGAGGCAATTGAGGCTTAAATGACTTGCCTATGGTCACACAGGTCCAATGCTCTATCTACTTTGCCAGCTAGCTGCCTTTGAAAAGCAAGAAGAAATAACAAGTTTTCTCCTTCTGTGTCCTTTCTATACTAGTATATTCAGCTTTTTACTTTCTCTTCTCTTTCCCTTCTTCAAACTCAGAACAGAACCAATCCATCCCCAGGTCTTTGTTTCATCTCCCTCATTAGACTCTTAGCACTGTAGCATCCTATAGATCCTTTCTATTTGTCTCTGGACCATTTCCCTCTTTCTCTCCTTACCAACCCCCCACCCCCACAGGATTATAGTCACCATTGCAATCTATCTCATTTGTTTTTGGAATGTTGTATTCCAAGATCTTCTTTTGTTTATATTAGAAGCTGCCAGGTCTTGTGTGATCCTAACTGAAAGTTTTATTTGATGTGTGAGCTCTGGATTTTGGCTATGACATTCCCATAGCTTTTTCTTTTAGGAGGTGATATTTCTTTGCCCTCTTTCTAATATATTTGGACAGTTTTCATTTCATTTCCTGAAATATAATATCCAGGTTTTTTTGGGGGGGGCGGTTATTATGGTTTTTAGGGAGTTAGTTGATTCTTTTTAAGCTCTCTCTTTGACCTGTCTTCCAAGTCAGTTCATTCCACATCCATTTATAGAAGTTTGATGTATCTTATATTTTCTTCTATTGCTTGGTCTAACCATGAATTATTCAGAACTCAGGATCTTTGGGACCCCCTCCAGCTTCTTAGAACAATGTTAGGGACCTCAGAACACTTAGACCAAAGCCTTCTGGATCTGAATTCTGTATACTGGGCTGATCCATACTGCTCAGACTGCTGCTGTTCCCTGAGTTCCCATGAACCTTTCCAAGGTTTCAAAACTACGGTTGTTTTTTTGGGGGGGGCGCAACCCTCCATCCTTGATGCCTTGATGTGAAGACACAGAGCCTTGTAGGCTATGTTTGTTCCATAGCCTATGTATGGGTATACACACATACCCATTTTTTAAAAGAGATAAACTGAAGTTAAGAGATTAAATTATTTGCCCAAGACTATATATTGAATAGGTGGCAGAATTGAAATAAGAACTCATCTTTGGACTACTGTACTTGTCATATATATATATGTAGTACATATATATGTACTACATATATATGCACTACACATATGTGCACTACATATATCTACATATATGCACTATATATACTCTATATATACATATGCATATATGCATACACATATATGCACTATATATACATGCACTACATACACACAGACACACACACAGACACACACACACACACACATAATCTCCACTGCACTTGTTGCATCTTTGGTCCTCCTGGTGCTCACCTTGCTGGCAATTTCTCTTGAACTTCTGGTTGACTTTTCCTGCAATTCTGAGGTAAACCTGTCACTTGCTATAATTTTTCGTTGGATTCCTAGCTCTTTATTGGTCTGCTGCTTTTACCTCAAGGCTTTTTGGGAGTAGGTATGGAAGAGCTGGGCAACCTGCCTTCAGTTCAGGCAGCCATCTTGGTTGGAATTCTGAGAAACTCCCCAAAGCATTTTCTAGAGATTTTTTTTTTCAAAATTTCACTATTTGTGGCAATTTTTATTTTTCATTTTATATTTTAAGTTAAAACCAAATAATTACCCAAGGTTTTTAATTGATCTTTTTATAGTATGAATAAATGAATGAAAAAGCACTAAATAGGCACTTACTATGTGATTCATTATGCTAAGTGTTGTGAATAAGGACAGAGAATGGAAACTGCTTTCATTGCTATAGAGAATTCAGGAGTGGGGAAACTCCCCTCTACTGAGGCAGGTCAAAAATCCTTCTCTGTATCTTAGAACCTTGGAGAGTTGCTAAACCACGGTAAAGTTGCGTTCTGCTCAGGATCACACAGCTAGTATTTGGGGGTGGAGACTGTGATATTGAATTTGTTTACAAGCCAGGCTCTAATATAGATAGAAAAAGGAAGATAGTTACTGTTTTCCAGAAGCTTACCTTTTAATAAGAGAAGACAGCACATGCTAAGGGAGGCTTGGTGATCAGAGAGGAGTATTTTTGTCAGGGAAGTCACAGAGTTGGTGAGTAGATACAGAAGACAATTCATACAGAAGACCTGTGCAATATAATATTGTATTGATTAGCAGAGAAAGCAAGAGGTGGAGGCAGGGGTGATGGTGGCGTGGCATGTCTTGAAGGTGGCTAGAGAATAGCCTCATCATGTCTTTGGGTAATGCTAGTTATGGTGAATGCTTATCAATCAAAAGCTCATTGTTTTAGATGATAATCATAGTTCCTTACACTTATAGAGCGCTTAATGTTTACAAATCACTTTCACATATATTATATTTAATCTTTACAATAACCCTGTCAATAAGCTTGACTGGTAGTATTATACTCATTTTGTTAAACAGATGAGAAAACTGAGCCCAAGGCTATATTTCTAAAAGGTGGCAGAACTACTCTAAAATACATCTTTTGACCAGTGTGCTTGTCAAGCTGGATATGAACTTTGTAATGATTGTGAAAGCTCTCTGGGAAATTAGGTAACTCTGTTCTTTGTGGATGATACTAGAAAATTGTATTCTAATAACTTTGGGGCACTGAGGAGAGGGGAGTGAGTGACATACAATTGTTCTTTTTCTTCCAATAGAGATAATATTTCTTCCTTTCTCTCTTGTATTGTTGTCCAAACAGAACAGCATTTCGGCACAATTGGATGTTTATATTCCAGTAGGGGATTTTGCCTTTAGAGTGTTCTTTGATGGGTACATTACCACCCTCTCCACCCCCATTTTTGGGGTCAGAGACAGTGATTTCATTGGTTATATGTATAAAGGTGAGGATTCTCCTCTTACCAGTCTTGAGTCACAACTCTCCTGCAATTTTTAGTTTTTGGTAGTTCTGGAGGGGCCTTTAGCAGTTTAGCCTTTAGTTCTGGAGGAGCTGACACAGCTATGTCAGAAGTAGGTCTTAAGCCAAAGTCCTTCTGATTCCAAGGTTAGCCCTCTACCCACAATACCTCAAGTGTAACTGTACTTTGTGCAGGATATTTTAACAGCTGCTGCTGCTCCAGGAAAAAAAAATACAAAATATTAGCCCCCTTTTGTGCTAGGTTATGTGTTTTTCCCTTTTCAGTGTTGTTTAGTTATAATTTATAAGTACATTTCACTTGCAAACAGTCAACATTTGAATTATCTACACGATTATTATCTTATTTAGTTAGAATGACTTCTTGCCCTCATACGAAAATGGATGACTCCTCCATATTGCTTTGCCAATAGACACACAGAAAATACTAGGTAATATAAATATAAATTTATTTAAATATTGCACAAACACAACATGTAAGATTGCATATCTACCATAAAAATAGCAGATGAGGCCCCAAATGTTTGTGTTTGGTTTACAATGCACCTGATCTGTTATGGTGGATAACTGGAAGGGTTTGATTTTCTTCTCTGATAGCTCATTATCACGATGTCTTTGTCTTATTTTCTTCTTATGCATGATTTTCCTATTTGTCTAAAGACATGTTTTCTTGTCCTTTTCTAGGAGCACAGAATCCTACCAGTATGAGTGGCATTTGATAAGTAACACCAGGACTTGGACTCACAGTTGGGCAGTATTGAAGAGGGACCCCCTCCGTGCGTCTCCTTGGCTATCATGGCTGCCCCCTCCGCAGTGGTGCCATTCTCCGTGGTGTCGCAGCCACAAGTAAGTAACATAAGGAAATATTTGACTAGCAAAGAATTTGCTAGGTATTGCTGACCTTTTGGATAGGATTCTTGAAAGTATGTAGCATTGCATTAAAAAAAAATCTCTGAAAATCACCATTTGGGATGTATTTAGGTTTTCTCTGCAGAAAAAAATAGTTTATAAAGGAGTTGCCATTTAGGGCCAGTAACCAGCAAAAAATAATGAACAAATCAACTTTTTAAGGCAGAACTGTATTTAATCATAATTAGGAAGCCTTGATTTTCTCTTTTTTTTTTGAGATAATTGATTTTATTGATATTTTATGTTTCTTATATTTTTTACCTCCTCCCTCCCCTACCCTGAAACCTTCTATATTGGCAATAGCATTTTTTTTTCAGAGAGGAAAAAAGAGTCAGCACAAGTGATTGATACATTGAAAAAGTCCAAAGACACGTGTAATGTATAATACCTACAGACCTCTGACCTCCATGAAGTGGTAGATATGGTTTTGTTCATTTGACTCCCACTTGATCTTTTTTGTTTCATTTACTTTTGATTTTTTTTTAACATGTCATTCTTTCCATTTGCATTGTAGTTATTTTCTTTGTATATTATTTTCTTGGCTGTGTTTACTTCACTATGCATCAGTTCATATAGATCTATCTGGGGTTTTCTTTATTCATCACACACATCATTTCTTATAGAACAGTAGTGTTCCATTACATTCATGTACCATGATTTGTTTAGCCATTCCTACTTGATGGGCATCTATCTGTGCCTTGTTTATTTGGGCTTCACTGGGATATCTGATAGTTATCAACCTATTAAAAATTTCCTGATGTTACGTGTTTGTATTAAGCTAACACATCTGCGTATAATATCTAGGGTTTTCCTTTCGTTTCCTTTCATTATTTTTCTTTTACTCATAACAAATAAACCCTTAGACCAGGAGGGGGAACCTGCTGCCTCAAGGCCACATATGGCCCTCTAGGTCCTCACGTGCAGCTCTTTCACAGGACAGATTCCCTTAATATAAGGATTTGTTCTGCAAAACTTGCCGAAACTTTTGACTCAGTCAAAAGGCCACACGCAAGACTCTAGAAGGCCTTGAGGCAGCAGGTTCCCCACTCCTGCTTAGACCCACAAACAATTCTTTTTCAAAGTATCCTGAAGTTATGTCAAAGATCTATCAATAATAATTCAGGGACCATAAGTTGACTAAATATGTTTAATGCCATTTTTATTCATATTCTTAGCACAACCTTATTTTCCTTCTGACCTTTCTCAGTTTCTTTCATCTCTTCATCTATGCACACAGCTACATCATCATCATTATTAGTTGCATTGTTATTTTTGTGTGAACCTGTGTTTTCATCAGGGTAGGGAACTCCTAGCATAGATTTGGAAGATCATTCCATTGATACAGATAGATATCTCTTTGCCTGGGGGCATTTAGAGGTTAGGTGATTTGCTCAAGGTCATGCAGTTAATATATCAAACAGGACTTGAAACCATCTTTTTCTCTTTCCAAGTCTGGTCTTTCATTCAATGTACTGAACTGCCTCTTAATGATTTTTATTCCAGGAATTAAAAAAAAAACCCAAACAAACCCTGAACCAACTAAGCAAAATAAGTCTGAAGAAGAGAGCCATCTTGATTGATATTCATAGGTTTAGAATTAGAAGGAACCTTAAAGGCTGTCTAGCCTAACACATTTTATAGATAAGGAAACTGAGAGCCAGGATCATATAACTAGTATCTGAGGTGGGATTTGAATCCTGCTTTTCCTGACTTCAAGACCAGCATTCTATCTTCTATTTGATGTTGCCTCTCAAATATTTCCAAGATAGGAATGAACTGGATAGAATTTCCTGCATAGAATTTTGTAGACCACAGTTTTTTGGTTGGATTCTAAGAGAGCACATTTTTTAAAGATGAGGATGAGGTAGAGGGATAACTTGTATCCTACATGTTTACTCTTACCTACTCCTGCCCCAGTTCTCAGTAGAGGGGAGTATGAGAACCCGTAATACTTCTTACTCAAAGCAACATGTATCAAGTTGTTATTGTCATTTAACATTTTAAAAAATGCTAGTCCCACATTTCAATTTGTTTGGAGCCAAAACTATGTTACATGCATTTTTCTTTCTAGTAAATGGATCTTTACCTCTTCAGCACTTAATTTACCTTTGGGTATTTATTTTTCCCAGTCCTAGAGAGTTCTGTCTGGCATCTTTTTGTTCATGAAATAAGAAAAGAGATTTGATTCCTTTTTGAGGCCATTATTTCAAAGCCCAGTTTAGCTATTACTCTGCAAAGGCTATTTTGAAGTTTTTATGAAATGAGATTAGACTTGAACTAATCAGTCTTGATTGCAAAGGACTTAAGAATGCTATCTATCTCTTGATAGGTGATGGACTAATATGAAGAATGAGGAACTCATTTTTGGGCATAGCCAATATAGAAATGTGTTTTACTTGACTATGCTTGTTTGTTACAAGGATTTTTTCCTTCAGAGGTGTGGGGATGTGCGAAAGATAAAAAAAAAATGGAAAAAATAGTTATTCCTAGTTCTAATTTCCTGGTTAAGGCACAGGAGGGTCTTTCAACTATCCCTGGTCAGAATTTCTTTATCTCATCTCATCTCACCAATCCAGAAAAATTTTATTAATCACTTATCTGCAGGATACTATGCAAAGTTCTTGTGTTACCAAAAAAAAAAAAAAGTGAAACCTGTCCTCAAGGCAATTATTCACTTTTTTTTACTCTAGTTAATTTCCAGTTAGTAAAAATCAACTTTTTTTTAATTGATAAATTAAATTTCACAAGGGGAAAACATTTTTTAAAAATAGAGTATTCAGTTAATATATGGGGAGATAGTATCTCACTATGCAAATAGAAATTATGGCTGAAGGTTGAACATAATTACATTCAAGCTAAGTGAAATGAAATAAATTCCAAAATCTTTTCTACTTCTTGAAGATGCTTTTGAACTCAAAGTCCAGCATGCAAACCCCAAAACCAGAACCTTTATAAAATCACTTTGAAATGCTGTAAGCACAATTGTGTGTGTCTATGACAATTTCCTTGCTAGTGTTTGCCCAGCAACACTAAAGTATAAAGGTATATAGGGAGAAAACGATATTTTCTTTGCTAGCTTTCACTGCTGGTAAACCAACTCCGACAATACATTTCTGTTGTTTCAGAGAAAGATTTGAGGAAGAATGCAAGGATCAGGAGCCCAGTAGGAATAGCATCAGTGATGCAGCATAACAGCGTTGTAGTAGCCTGGGTTTTTTGATTTTAAAAATTAAATCTTATTGACATTTTTTTTGTTTTTGTTTTTTTACATCAATGTAGTTATCCCAAATACCCTTTTACCTCTTCTTTTCCTTCCCAGAGAGCCCCCCCATATAATAAATAGTATTTTGCTCCTGGGCATTTTACATGTAACTAAGAGAGGGGCTAGTTATGAATCCTTTGTGGGTGGCAGCTGGTACCTTGAGTGGAGTCTGCATCCCCTAGATTGTCTGTGTAGACCTGTAATTATAATGTTTACTAAATGCTTTACATATGTTATTTCATTTAGGCCCCACAACCCTGTGAGGTAGTAGGACTGGTATTGTTATTCCCATTTTATGGATGAGGAAACTGAGGTAAGGAGAGGTTAAATGACTTGTCTGTGGTTACTTAAACCTTTTTAGTTGTATCTGCTTGGCTTAGAAAGAGGATCTCTCTGTTATATGAACTTCTTAGGATCATGGTTTTAAAGTCAGAAGGGTCCTTAGAGGCTGTTGAACCCCAAACCCATCATTATTCAGATGATGCTCTGGGAAGACTGACCAAATAGGTCAAGTAGCCAGTAAGTGTCTGAAGTAGGATTCAAACTCAGGTTTTCTTGACCCCCCAATTATCACCCTGGTGCTCCTTAAGAAACTGACTTGAGATAGTTATAACTGCTAGAAATTCATTTTATAGGCTAATGAGAAGTTCATATGCTCAAAAGACCTTTCTAAGTTAGGATAATCTTCAGCCCCAAAAGTCTTGATCTTCTACCACTACTGATGCGACTATGCATTTATTTAATGTCTTAGTGTTTGCAAATTGCTTTACAAACATTATTTCATTTGGTCTTTACAATGACCCTGAACATAGGTGCTATTATCTATTTCTTGTATGGGAAAGTGAAGCACAGAGGTGTTTAAGTGACTTGTCCAGGGTCATACAGCTAGGGTCTGAGGCAGTATTTGAACTCAGGTCTTGACTTCAGGTTCAGTGCTCGATTTTCGGTGCCAACTGGCTTCCTACTGAATCATATATCCCTTTACTCTGTTGAGTATACATGTCTTTTCTCCATAGTTTGACTGAAAGCTTGTAGAGAAAATGAACAGTATATTATATCTAGTGCACCTGGCACAGTGCACATGGTTAGTGCTCAATAAATACTTGCTAAATGTTCAAAAAATACTTTGAAATCACTCATCTAATAGATGGTCCCAGAAAAGCTGAACCAAAATGTTACACATCTTTTTAAAAAATTATAGGTACATACATACATACATACATACATACATATATACATATATGTATTTTTTCTTTCCCATTATAGGTAAAAATAATTTTCAACATTTTTTTTAAGTTTTGAGTTCCTAATTCTATCCTTTCCTCTCCCTTTCCCCCTCCCTAAGATGGTAAGCAACCTGCTATAGATTATACATGTACACATGTCTTTATTCATTGACATTTAGTAAACTTCTCCTACATGCCAAGACTGTGTTGAATATTGTGAGGTATGAAACAAGATGTGATTTTCCTTTCTGTCATGCCCTGCACAGGTCACCCGAGCAGTCAGAACCTTGTCCTAAGTGATCTGCTCTATAGGAGTGGTTATCACTAGAATTTCTGTCCAGGTATTAGAAGACAGTGAGTTGTTTTTGCATTTTATTCATCTGATTTTTTATTTTCATATAAATCTCTTTCATCTATGAACATAGGCTTAACAATCTCAACTCAGGCAC